AAGATAATAATATTAATAATAATAATAATAATAATAATAATAATAATAATAAGAAGAAGAAGAAGAAGAAGAAGAAGAAGAAGAAGAAGAAAATTATTTTTTAGTTTCTATACCACAATTCATTTATACAGTGTGACACAAAGTGAAAGAATAATTTAAAATAAACACTGAAATGGAGAGACATACAATAAAAAAAGCTAAAGTTCAATTAAAAAGACAAATTAAGATATAATAATCTCTTAATATGTCTGTATTAGTAAATGCTAAGAAAGTAAAGTTAGAATTGTGAGAATTATTCATTTAAAACAAAATATAACCTAAACATTAACTGGAAACATTCTTTACTTTACTTGGATTTATTAATGCAAAACTTAAAAGCACCTTCATTAATTATTTTATTTATTTAATATTTTTGTGTCTTTTTGTACAAAACTCTGATGAACGCGCTGTTACACCTGATCTGCCCTGCAGATAGAAGGAATGACGAGTTCCTCTCAAAGTCTCATTTACATTCCTCTTTACATAATATCTCCTTTCACACAGTGCCGATGTTATCACAGCCATTGTTCCCTCTTTATTGTGACAGAATACAGAACTGGCACAAATATATTAAAATACCAAACACTTTCTTCCTGTTGGCAAACTTTCCCTGAGTTGTCTGAAAATAACAGTTTTATTAAAACAGAGAGAAGATTTAACGTTTGTGCAACTTTTCTAAGCTTGTTTTTAACTGCAGTTACTCGTTCATTCTCTCAGCTCGTATTCTTTATCAGCACTATCAGTCTGTTTCTGCAACACTTCAGGGGACGTTACTAAAGTTCATATGTGCTCTAAAATGGCCTGCATGGATCAGATTCTTCTTCTTCAGAGGTTTATTACGACAACGAGGTTATTATAGTTAAAACTTAACCCAACAATAAAACAACTAAAACAACATTTTAGTTTAAATAAACTGTAATAAAAATTAGACGTAGAGGTCCAGTGTGTGACATTTAGAAGGATCTATTGGCAAAAATAGAATATAATATGTTTTAATTAGTGTATAATCACCACTGGGCCACCATGTTGATCTATAGATAGATGGTAATTTGTGTTTTTTGCACATTTCGTGGCCACCGTAGTTTCCCCTTCACACTAGGAAGCGAGGGTAAAGTGACGGAGTTGCTGTGTGCAACTATAGGGCTGTATTAATCATTATTTTATTGGTAAAGCACTTTCAAGCTTTCTAGATAAAAACATACAGAGAACAAACATTTTAAAACATTCTAAAATAAAAATATACAGGAAATGTGTTTTTTACTTTACCCAATGAGTCGACACAACCAGCCTGAGGACGTATTGAGTGAGTCAGTGTTTGTACTGTAATATCTGTAATCTTAAAACTAATACTGAAACAAATAAAAACTAAATTGAACTGAATTGAATTAAAAACAAGATAAAAATAAAAACTGATTATGAATACAAGCTGTGATTACTTCCTCCCAGCAGTATGAAGGTACAGTTCCAGTAAAACAACTTCAGCCTCATTGTTTCCGTTCAACCTACTGGAATCTGGAGTCATTATTCTTCTTTCTGGATGCATTGTGGCTACTGAGGAAGTTCAGAGACCTTTTCCTCTCGTTAACACATTTTTTTTATTTTCCATCACAGTGAAATCTAAAACACATCACGAGATTATCGTCACATTTGTTCCTCGAAGCACCAATCCAGGAAGTACTTAGTCTGCTGGCACCGATCCAATCAGCTGGTTTTAAATGTACTTTCTGTCAAACTTCATGTATTATGTTGTTATTATTAAAATCATTTTGCTTTTTTGTTGTCTTTTCTCTGTGTTTGTTGTCTTGAATGAAAATAAACCTCTGTGGTAGATACAGAACAAAAACTAAACCAATGCAGTAAAATACAATCGTCGTTTTATCTGTAAAATGACATTTTTTTTACATAAATACAACAATGGAAGTTTCTAAAAGTCTTACTGAACTCCAGAGTTTCAAAGCCAGAGAAACAGTAAAATACTGTAATTCATGATAATTAAACCCTGTAAACATATTAGTACATTTAAATTTTAATCTCCTTAAAATGGGATTTGGGAGAAACACCACAATCAAACAACGACACAGTATATTCTTAATTTATGCCCCAAGTTCTGTTTTTAAGCTGCTCATTCAGAGTAAATGTCCTGTGTTATGAACAGTAAAATGTAAAGTCTACCTTTTGTATATTTGGCTCAGAAATGGGCGTGCAGTGTTTGCACACTGTCACTGAACTAAGGATCATTATGCCATTATCATCAGCCCAGTGTGCGAACCATACCGCGGCTATCAGGGAGCTCACTGTCTCAGCAGTCAGAGTTTGGACTGAACATGAAGCACCGACGGTAAAAATAGATGAATAATGATGATTCGGCAGACTCAATCAGACTACATAAATTTATTCTTTCTATATTTTCTGATCTGAATTAATGATATTGTGCAGCCATGCTCCACTGATTCCCAACCTGAGGGTTGAGACCCCAACTAGGGGTCGCCAGACCTGCTTGATTTTAAGGGGTGTAAGAAAATATACACAGTACGTTACCTTTTGTGAAGTAAAGATACATTTAATTGTCTAACAGAACAACGGCCAAGCGCCAGACAGAAGAAAAACCCTGAAAAAATAACCCTATTAGGTCTGTATGATTGTTAGGAGTTATTAAAACTACATAATACAGACTCTACAGACAGAGAATTGTATAAAAACTTCCCTAAACAGGAAATAATCCGCTTAAATCTCATCCAAATCTCTAGTTTTACACAAACTTCCTGCAGTCACTGAGTTCACTGTTTGTACAGTTTTAAATGAAATATCCATAAACCTAGAATCTCTTACGCTCCCTTTACTCAACACAGATTTAAATAAGATCCTTAAACATAAAGAACGTGGTTTACACACAAAGACTCCCTCCTATTAACACACATCAGTAAAAGGTGTGTGTGTGTGTGTGTGAGTGTGTGTACCTGTTGTATGAGTGCTGTTGTCCAGGTGTGTGTAGATCTGCGTTTGACCTCCGGTGAACAGACAGACTGCAGACTGAGGGCCGCACCACAGCCGGACCACAGACCCTGCAGAGACCCACAGCATCACAACCATCAAACCTTTTATTCTCATTCTCATCATATCGTTGAGTCCCGTCGGTAGTTGCTTCATAATTATCTTTAATATATCGACCTTAGTGTAATAAGGAGTAGAGCTGCAACAATTAGTCGATTAGTTGTCAAATATTTTAATTAATTAATTAACCAACAGTTTTTGGTAATCAATTAATCGAATTCTTTGATTTTAGCTTCACAAATGTGAATATTTTCTTTCGTCCTATATGACAGTAAACTTGATATATTTGTGTTATGGACCAAACGAGACATTAGAGGAAACAGTAACATTTTTCACAATTTTTTTGACGTTTTATGGACCAAACAACTGATTAATTATATAGATGAAAAAATGATTTAAAAAAACCTGTAAACTATAAATAGTTGTTTCTGAAAACCTTTATTTACACATCATTTTGAAGGAATAAAGTGTTTTTATATATTACGGACTATAAATTGGACAGAAAACTTCTTTTCTTTTCTTTTGATGGTAAAAACTTGTATTTAAAGTTAAAGCTGTGGCTCAGAGGCAGAGCAGGTTGTCCCCTAATCGGAGGGTTGCTGGTTCGATCCCCGACTCCTCCAGCTACATGTTGTAGTGTCCTTGGGCAAGATACTGAACCCCAAATTGCTCCCAATGCTGTGCATCGGTATATGA